CACAGGTTATTGGCAAAGCAACAATTTGAAACCAATTCTTCCAATTCAAGACTCTTCCTAAGTTCACACACTGACCAGGGATATGTCTACGTATCAGGCAACTTCTGGGACCCTGGAGGAGACTTAGCTACTCATTCTTTATAGAACACTAAAATTAAGCCATTTGACTTCCAGTTCTTTTTTTTTTTTTTTTTTTAATGTGGGTAAATAGAAAAGGCATTTTATTTTTAAATTTTAGAATATTTAGTTGACAAATACAAATTATATATATTCAAGGTATACAACATGATCATTTGTTATAAGGAGACGTTGTGTACTGAATTCCAAATCCAAATAATTAACACAACCATCACTACCCATAGTTACTGTGTGTGTACATGTGTGAGGGTGGTGAGTGGACACTTGAAATCTGCTCTCATAAAATTTCAAGTAAACACTGCAGTATTACTAACTACAGTCACCATGCTAAATGTACATTCCATCCCCAGCACTCCTTCCTCTTGCATAAATGAAGCTCTGTACCCTTTGAGTAACATCTCCCCATGCCCCTCACACTCCCAGGCCCCAGCTTTTATGAGTCCGACTTCTGTAGATTCCACATGTAAATGAGATCACGTGGTATTCATCATCTTGTGTCTGGCTTATTTCACTTAACCTAATGTCCACCAGGTGCATGCACAGAGTCACAAATGGCAAGGTTTCCCCTTGTTTTTTAAGGACTAAATAGAATTCCATTGTGTATATTTTCTTTATTTTTTAAGAGACAGGTCTTACTCTGTTATCCACGCTGGAGTGCAGTGGTGCAATCACAGCTCATTGCAGCTTTGAACACCATGGCTCAAGTGATCCTCCTGCCTCAGCCTCCTGAGAAGTTGGGATTATGGGCGCGAGCCACTATATACCACATTCTCTGTCCTCTCACCTGTCGATGGGCGCTTAGGTTGATTCCCTATCTGGGCTACTGTGAAGAATTCTGCAGTGAACATAGAGTGCAGGCATCTCTCTGAGATCCTGATTTCAATTCCTTTGGATACATACCCAGAATGGGGGACTGTTAGATCATATGGCAGCTCTATTTTTAACTTTTTAGGGCACCTCCATAATGTTTTCCATAATGGCTGTACTAATTCACATTCCAACCAACAGTGTACAGGGGTCCCTTTCTCCACACCCTCACCAACTCTTGCTGTCTCCAGAGTTTTTGGTTAATAGCCATGATATCTCATTGTGGTTTTGATTTGCATTTCCCTGATAATTAGCGCTGTTTCTAGTTCTTTGATTTAAACATAAATCTTTCTGAGAGAAATATAATTAGTCATTTTCTATGGTAGAGAGAAATACAACATAAGACAAAGAGGCCAGAACTAAGGCAAACAGGACCTGTGTTCTGGCACTGGCTCTGCAGTGTACTGGCTGCATTACCTAGGGTGAACATGCCCATGGGAATCTGCCTGGACCTCTGCTGAGCCACAGTGCACTGAAATTATCCATTTGCAGGTCTGCCTTCCCTTGTCTAGGCCATCTGTCCTGGTCTGGGCTGGCGGATGGGCACCACGCCCTCCTTTGTGTCACGAGGAGAGAGGATGTCTGGGACATGGCAGGCTTGCTGGTGAACGCACAAGTCATTCGGATCTGTTTCCTCATCATAAAAGGAGAAACTGGACTGAATCAGAGACCTTTCAGTTTTTTTAAGGAACACGTGCTTTCCATTCCTTGAAAGCTTTGAGCTTGCTGCAAGGTATTCAGTACTCTTAGCCCTACTCACGACATGTCATATGCTCACCCCAGCCCTTTTGTCAACCAAAGTGAAACACCTCTGCCCATTTCCAAATGTACCTAAGACCCTTGGACTCCAGCACCCAGTTCGGAAGCAATAGGTTAAGTCTTTCCTGTGGCAGCCTTCAGATTTCTTCTGAGTTACAGTCAGAGGGAGAAGGAAATGGCAAGCATCAGAGGGTTTGAAAGACAGTGCTAAAGGCCAGACCCACAATGTTAAAGGAATTGCACAGCAGAGAGGACAAACAAGAGAAGGGAAGAAACATGGAGAAGAACACGAAAGCCATCTTGGGGGTACAGGGTACAGAGACAAGACCAGGGAGTGGGAGAACAGGTAAGGATTCAGCGACAAATAAATCTAATCCTACAATCCAAATACCCCTGACATCAAAGTCCGGAATTGGTATTCATTAAAAACATCCTGCAAAGGTTAAATTATGATCAGTATATTCTGCCTAAGAGGGTAGAGAAGGATGCCTAGACCAAAGCCTGGTCAAGAGTAAGCACACAACAAATACAGTAAATGAATATTAGTAAATTAGTCAATGAATATTCTGGAAAGACTGCCATGTAAAATACCCAAAGTATGGATGTCTATAGGCTTACACTTCAGTTATCTGAAAAAATTAATTGGCTTCATTTCTCTAGCATGTCACTTTTCTTTTCCTAGAGAATTCATCCCTCCTAGGTCTCAGGCATCTATCAATTCAACAAAAATAGTCACAGTCATACAACTGGCTTATTGGCTTACCCGCCTGTGTTCAGGAGTGGGTAAGTGGCTGCACTAAAGGGGGCTGTAGGTCCTTCTTTCAGTTCAGGAAAACAGACGCGCACAGGACCTGAGGCCAGTAAGCTGGGAGGTGGGGAGCCCCGCCACGTACAGTGCCATATGGAAACTACTAATCCTGTCCCACAATTTGGTTGCAATAAACTAAAATTGACATGCATATGATTTAATCTGATACATATGTATACATATATTTATAAAAAATTTTATCATACTATGCATGCTACATGTTATCGTCTGTCCTGATTTTCAAATTTAACAGTATGAGATGAACCTCATTAAGTATTCTGTTTTATATCTTTTTTAAAAATAGATTTTACAATTTATATTATTACTCACCAATGATCAGAGGAAGATTTTATTATTCAGAGCACTTTTAGGTTTGCTGCAAAATTAAGCAGGGTATAGAGATCTTCCATATACTGCCTGTCCCCCCAACACACAGTCTTGCCCATTAGCAACACACCTCGCCAGAGTGGTCCACCTATTGCAACTGATGAATCTACACGGACACGGACACATCATTGTCACCCGAAGTCCACAGCTTACATGAGGGTAGACTTTTGGTGTGGTACATTCCATGGGCTTGGTAAAATAAATAACAACATGTACGCAGCATTAAAGTATCACACAGAATAGTTTCATTGCCTCAAAATCCTCTATGTTCCGCCTGTTCATCCCTTCTTCATTTTAAAAACTGACGTCAATATTCCATTGTAAAGATGAGGTGAGTCATATGGATTCAAGTTGCACATGTTGATGTGCATTTTAAAATTTACTTAAATATGTTTGTACTGATTTTGGTCTTATCTGGGCTGCCTTAGAGAGACTATTTTCCCACACTTCAACAAACAGTAAATCATGATTGATAGATGGAAATGGAAATGACTGAGTGTGATGGCAGCAGGAGGCAGACAAATCTCAGGCAGACAAATTCTAGGCAGACAGGACGGTCCCCGGTGAAACCTGACTGTCGAGCTCCAGAGTTTAAAGCCTGGCTGCAAGTCCCGGATAAACCCATGGAAGGGACTGAGACCCTCTCGCCCCATGTGGCGCACTTTTATCTGACTGATTGCCCCTCTTCACCTATTTTACATACACCCACCCTTCCCCAGTTGGTTTTTTTCCACTACCGTTCCCACCTTTGAGTGGTGACTTCGTTTTAGCCTTCTTTTCTGCATGCTCACAATCAGCATGCGCCCCTCCATTCTGAGCCCAAAAGAGCCCCTGAGTCAGCCACATCAGGAGAGAGACCACCTGACTTCCGGTGGGGGACCACTCTCGCCTCCCCTCTGGGCTGAGAGCTGTTTTGTGCTCAATAAATCTCTCGTCCGCCCTCCTCACACTCTGGTTGTCAGCATAATCTCGTTCTCTTGGAGGCAGGACAGGAACTCAGGACTCCGCGGAATGCAGGTACCAGGACAGCAGTAACCCTGTAACCCTCCATCCCCCACTCCCTTCGGCTGCCCCACTCAACGGGAAGCAATGGTCTGTTAATGTGCTCGTTGGAGCTGTTAAGATGTCCGTTAGTCCGGCTGCAGACGCGGGTCGAAAAGAGCCGTGTGCACGCTCCAACATCCCTTCTGGGGCTAAGGGGTGGCGGGCGTCGCTGTTTGGGCGCCACGGTGTTCCCCTTGCCTGGAGGCGAGAGTCCACTGTGGGAGTCACTTGTCACATGCCTGGTCCAGCTACAAGCCTCGCATGGAGCCTACTCCTGTGCTGGCGGTTGGAGAAGCCCCAGGACCCCTGCACTCGGTTGCTCGCACAACCCTCCTGCTGAGGGCTGAGAGCACAGTCACCGAGGCCACGGGATATGCCAAAGCGCAAGCCAGGGCGGCCCGGCAGGCCTAGTGGGCAAACCTGGGCCAAGAGGCCTGGGTAGGGGCATCGCCGACCGCGGAGGTCTCCGGCTGGCAAAGCGGCACCGAAAAAGATCCTGCGTTGTCTTTCATTAGCAGTGAGATCGAATATTTTTATATTACTATTTAGCTTAACATTTACATATTTCTGTGATTTGTTACTTTTTGGGTCACGCATATTTTTCTTATTCAACCTATAAAAATTCTACATCAGGCACGTTACATGTTACAGGAATGTATTTTTCCCTATTTTAAAGAAAGAAATGGATTTATCATTTACGGGAGTTCAAATGTCAGATGGATTACAGGACATGGAGAACTAACTGAGAGAATTACCATAGAACTGTCTGCCTTGCTGGTATTTATTTCTGCATCTCTGAGTAGCAGTCCATTAAATACATTCTGTTGGGGAAACCAACAGACCCTAATTACCCAGGCACAGAGGAACACAGCCGCTCCCAATCGGATGTTAGGAACTACTGAAAACAAGGCTTTCCCCGTCCCTTGAGGGGCACCACGCGTGTCTCACAGAGGCAGAGGGGAGGCGCGCCCCGCGGAGGCAGGAGACCCGGGCTCACCTGGATGTTGTCGAACCTGAGGCCCGGCATGGTAAGGTTCTCCTTGTCCACGAACACGGCGCCGCGCTGCTGGGTGGCCACGGCCCGCAGGACTCCACGCGTGGCCTCGCCGGGGAGCCAGGCGTCGTTCCTCCGGTCCATCTCGCTCATGCTCAGGGCGGTGGCGAAGGGGTCGTCACTCCCCGCAAACACTGCCTGGATGTGCGCGAACGGCTCTGGCGACGCCGGGGGCGCAGCGGCCTGGGGCCCTCGCATGGCCGCGGGTTCGGGGCGCCCCTCGGTCCCGGGCACAGAGAGGGGAGGCGGGCTGGCGGGAGCCGGGGAGCCCGCGCCGGGGTTGCTGACGGAAACGAAGGCGGAGGTGGTGAAGGAGTCGAAGAAGTCCGAGGCCAAGGAGTGGCTGGCGGCCGCGTCTCCGAAGAACGTGCTGAGGCTGGGGCTGGGCTGCACCGCCTGGGGCGGCGTCCTGGCCGGGGCCTCGCTGGCGCCGCCGAAGCTGGGCGACTTCACCATCTGCGGCTCGAAGCCGTCCCGGGGGGCCGGGGGCGCGCGCTGACTGAAGATGGTGCACACGGGGACCGGCTCCGCAGCGGGAGGCTCCTGCTCCGGGCGCGCGGCTTCGCTGCCGGGGGCCTCGCGGGCCGCATCCTGCCTCGGGGCCCCTCCGCTCCTGGGGGCCGCGTCCTCGGGGGTGTCCTCGGGCGCACAGTCGCCGTCGACCTCGCCAGCGGGACTCGGGGTGCCCGCGGGCTCCGGGCCCGGGTCGCCTTCCGCTCCGGGCTCAGCTTCTTCCCGCGCTCGGCCCAGGTCGCCCGCGTCGCCCTCGCTGTTGTTGGGGGAGTCGGAGATGAGGACGCTCTCCATCATGTGCTCGTTCAGCTTGTCCGCGAGAGGACTCGAGCCTTCCGACGCGGTCTCGTTCTCTTCGGATCCAAACTCATCTCCGCCAAGATCGATGGTTTCCTCTTGGAACAGCAACCCCTGCTCCTCCGGAGGCGCGAGCTGAGGGGGGTGTGGGGCCTCCGGGGCCGGGGTCTCCTCGCCGCCGCCAGCGTCCTCCATGCCCCTGAAAGCAAAGACAGAAAGAAGGCCCCTCAGTGTGATCTTCGTTTACCTTAACCGAAAAATGCCTATTGCTTATAGACTCAAATGACTCAGACTTCCATGTCTCCAGCTTCTTATCCATGTGCTTTTGATTATGGTAAAATACACATAAAATTTACCACTTTAAGTTCAGCAGTGTTAAGTGCATCTACATTTCTGTGCAACCAATCTCCAGAACACTTTTCATGTTGCAAAACTAATATCCTATCCCCATTAAACATCCCCCCGTATATCCATCTCCCCCTGCCCAGAACATCCACCATTCCACTATAAAGTAAGTGGAATCACCTGATACTCGTCTTCTTCTCACTGGCTGGTTTCACTTAGCATGAAGTCCTCAAGGGCTATTTACACTACAGTTTGGTCTGTTTCCTTCCTTTTAATGGATGAAAAATACCTAGGGTATGCGTACACTACATTTGGTTTATCCAGCTATCTGCTGATGAACATGTGGGTTGCTCCCATCTTTTAGCTATTGTGGATACTCCTGCAATGAACGTGGGTGTACAAAGATCTCTCTGAGACCCTGCTTTCAATCACTTTGGGTATATACCTAGAAATAACTGCTGGATTATATGGTAATTCTATTTTTAATTTTTTTTGAGGCACCAAAAATCTGTTTTTCATAGTGGCTGAATCATTTGTCATTCCCACCAACAGTGGACAAGCGTTCCAATTCACATCCTTGCCAACACTTGTTATTTTGTTTTTATTTTATTTCATAGTAGCCATTCCAATAGGTGTGAGGTTCCAGCCATATAAACACTATTTTATTCTGAGACTCAGCTAAGTCCCTCCTCTTCCATGAAGCTCTCCCAAGACTCTTCAATTTATAATAGTCTCTTCACTCTTCCCCATGCTGTCTGCCCCGCTGCCCCAGCTCATATTATCTTCCTAACTCTGGAAATCTGAGACAGTGAGAATGACATGAAAAACTTACACAGTAAGAAAACAACAGCACGCTCACTAAGCACTGATGGCTGAAGCTGACAACACAACTAGCTAACATTTATCGGCACACACTATGCCCCTGGCTGTATACACATATGCCTATGTGATTCTCAGAACACCCCTCCGAGATAGCTGCTAGCACTGTCTTCGTTTCACAGATGAGGGCACTGAGGCCTTGGGAGGCTGTGTTAGCCAAAATCACATAGCCAGTGAGTGGGGAAACCAGGACCAGCCGAAGCTGGCATGTTGAGGGGCCACTGGCCGGTAGAGGCCACAGAATGAAACAAAGAGCTCGAACTGTAAAAAAGTATTTGTTCCTTTCCTTGAAAAACTTTTACTTTATGTAGTTTTACTCTCATAGTGAACAAATTCAAGTTAAGGAAATCTAAGAGACTATGATAAAAGATAAGGGATTTTTTTCAGAATAAAACAACATGTACCTTTTTTACTTAAAAAATGACACTTAGCTGATCTCTAGATAAGACTACCCTTTTCTCACTGTTAGCACTTCCATCACAGTATTCCCAATGAGTCGGCCTTCCCAAAGCATTATTTTAAAGTAGTTAATCCAAGTTATACATTTGAAGAAGTTTCCGGTTCAGCCTGGTCAGTTACTAATTCCCTTATGCATTCATCCAATAATTGTTAAGTGCAAATGAATAAAAAAATCCAATGAAAAGGAGTAAAACCTTTGTTTCCTGCCATGTTTCACCGCGAGCCCAAAGAACAAACTGCCCTAGAACCCCAAAGAGGGAAGCCCCCTGGGCATGCTAAGGCTGCTCCTTCAGGTCCCACCTGCACAGGGGTAGAGGCTGGGCACAAGGAGCAAACAAGCAGCCTGAGGCAGTGCCCTCTGGAGTCTCCCAGCAGGACCTGAAGGCACTACCGTGGTCTGCATATTTTATTTTAGAAATAAGAATTTATTTCCATATAAGCTAATGATGAGAGAAAGGGATTTTCCCTCCCTCTCATCTCCCCTCAGCCCTAACAAGATTCTAGGTTCTAAAGCTAATTCTGATTCAATCTCACAGATTTAAAAAGTTATATTGCCTTTGTGAAGAAACTTTTTTTAAGAAACAATTCTTACTATTATGAAGATGAAGCTGCTTTAAACCTCTAAGATTTAGGGAAATCTGTTTATCAGAGATATAACAACAAAGAACATCGCCTAGAAAAAATTACCAAAATAATAAAAATTAAGGTAAAATGCTTCTAAATTATAAAGTTTAAAAACTTTATAAAATGTAAATTAAAAAGAAATGATAAAATAGGAATGTCCAAAATGTTCATTAATACCTGCAGACCACTTATGAGAAGAGAATAAAAAAATAAATTTTATTCTTAAGTAAATACCAAAGTAATAAAAAGCTCTAATAATTTACGGCAGGGATGATCACTTTTGCTTTCACACAAATAAAATCTAGATGCAGGAAAATGCTTGTAAGGATCTGAGGGTTTCTTCTCCAGAAAATCAAGAGGAATGCTCAAATAAAAATGATACAAAACATGATTTAGATGACGCTTTTATGAATGGGAAGACACATATTATAAAGTTACATCTATATAAATTATATACATTAGATTTTGTTACGAGGGACATATAATTTTTAGCAAAATAGCTTCTTCACTTCAAGGGTTTCCGTACTCTAATCTTATTCCAATGTAAGGTTCAAATGTAAAGCAGACAGTAGTAGTAACCATGTGTATATGACCAGATAGTTCTATAACCATAAAAAAAGTACAACTAGTAGTTAAGTCTTCCCACAAAGAAAATATAGGGTCCAGATGGTTTACCAGTGAAGTCTACCAAAGATCCGTACAGATAATTCCTACAGTACAAAAATTCTTGCAGAGAAGAAAAAGGACACATGACCCAATTCACTTTATAAGGCTAACATAATCTTGAGACCAAAATATGGCAAGGCCATACTAAAAAGGAAACTATCATCTCACTCATGAACATACCTGCAAAAATCTTGAAATATTAGCTAACTGAATCAGCAAAGTATTTATCTTCACACCAAACTCAGGTTATCCCAGAAATGTACTGTTGGTTTAATGCTAGGAAAACTTTTTACGCAATTCAACACACTGATAGATTAAATAATAAAAAGTACATGACTATCTCAATAGATGCACAAGAAAGTATCTAATAAAATTCAGCATCTGCTCAAGATAAAACCTGTCAGCAAACCAGCAACAGAACGCAACCTCCTCAATGTAATCAAGGGTATTTACCAAAAACCTAAAGGAAACCTCAAATGAACGGTGAAACGTTTAAAGCTTCCTCTTTAAAAGTAGAAAAAAGATAAAGAGGTCCTCTTCAACATTTTTATGCTACCTAATACTAGAGGCCTCAGGCAGGATTAAGACACGAAAAATAACTAAAAGCTACAATACAAACTGAAAAGAAAAAAATATAAACCTTCATTCTTCGTGTATGATTATTTATGTAGAATACATCAAAAATCTATGGTATAAAGACTGAACTATTGGGCCGGGCACGGTGGTTCACGCCTGTAATCCTAGCAATTTGGGAGGCCGAGGAGGGTGGATCACCTGAGGTCAGAAGTTCAAGACCAGCCTGGTCAACATGGTGAAACACTGTCTCTACTAAATATACAAAAATTAGCCGGCCCTGGTGGCGGGTGCCTGTAATCCCAGCTACTCGGGAGACTGAGGCAGGAAAATTGCTTGAACCCGGGAGGCGGAGGTTGCAGCGAGTCGAGATCGTGCCGTTGTGCTCCAGCCTGGGCAACAACAGCAAAACTTCATCTCAAAAAACAAAACAAAACAGAAAACAAGACTGAACTATCACAAGGGAATATGTAGCACACATTAAGGGAAGAGATGATTTCCCTCAAGTGATGTGTCAACAAATCATGCATCTAGGAAAAAACAAACTTGGAATCTTGCCTCACCTCAGACACAGTATCAATCTCAGGGACATTAAAAACTTAACTGTGAAGGCCGGCTGCGGTGGCTCACGCCTGTAATCCCAGCACTTTCGGAGGCTGTAGCGGGCAGATCACCAGGTCAGGAGTTCAAGACGGGCCTGGCCAACATGGTAAAACCCCATCTCTACTAAAAATACAAAAATTAGCCAGGTGTGGTGATGGGTACCTGTAATCCCAGCTACTCTGCTACTCAGGAGGCTGAGGCAGCAGAATCACTTGAACCCAGGAGGTAGAGGTTGCAGTGAGCCGAGATCGTGGCACGACACTTCGGCCTGGGTGACAGAGCAAGACTCCATCTCAGGGGAGAAAAAAATTAACTGTGAAAGGCAAAACTTCAAAACTTTCAAAAGAAAATATAAGATAATAAACTAGGCATAATAAATAAGTACAAACCATAAAGGGTAAATGGATACATTTGCTATATTACAGTGGAAAGTTCTATCATGAAAAACCTAAAAAAAGTGAAACAAATGTATCATTAAGAATCTATAAAAAGGGAAACAAATGTAACTGAGAAAGGATTAACACGAAGAATACATACAGAATTCCTACAAATTAATAATAGGATACTAAATGATCCATAAGGAAAATAAGCAACAGGGCTGAAAGGGGTGTACCTTTGAACATCCCTGTTGAGAAACCACTTGGTATTATCTAGCAAAGTTTAAAAAGCACATATCTTATCACTTCAATAACTATACATTTTTATTTTTCCCAGAACAATTTTTCACCCATGGTTTAAGTTATTACTATTATTTTATTAGTATTGTTATTTTCTGAGACATAGTCTTGCTCTGTCACCTTGGTGGGAGTGCAATGGGACGATGGTGGCTTACTACAGCCTTGACCTTCTGGGCTCAAGCCCATCCTCCTGCCTCAGCCTCTGGAGTAGCCGGGACTACAGGTGTGCGCCACCACACTCAGCTAGTTTTGTATTTTTCGTAGAGATGGGGGCTCAATATGTTGGCCAGGCTGGTCTCAAACTTCTGGGCTCAAGTGATCCTCCTGCCTTGGCCTGCCAAAGTGCTGAGATTACAGGCGTGAGCCACTGTGCTTGGCCTCAGTAAAATCATTAAGTGTCTCCTTTCACTCTTAAAGGAGTCTTGGTTGAGACAATAAATATGCGGTGATAGTACCTAGGACCTAGCAATTCCATTGCTAGATACATACCATGGAGGAATACCTGTACATGAGCAGTGTAAGCTATGATGCTGACTTTCATAAATAACAAATCAAAATACTTTTCTTCTAAGTCCTAAAAGAAAAAGCAGGCTGGACACAGTGGCTCATGCCTGTAATCCCAGCACTTTGGGAGGGCAAGGCAGGCACATCACAAGGTCAGGAGATCGAGACCATCCTGGCTAACATGGTGAAACGCCGTCTCTACTAAAATACAAAAAATTAGCCAGGCGTGGTGGCGGGCGCCTGTAGACCCAGCTACCTGGGAGGCTGAGGCAGGAGAATCGCTTGAACCCAGGAGAAGAGGTTGCAGTGAGCTGAGATCGTGCCACTGCACTCCAGCCTGGCGACAGAACAAGACTCCATCTCAAAAAAAAAAAAAAAAAAAGAAAAAAAAAGTGGAAATAAACACTGCTTGTAGACACAGTAATAAGTAAATAAGTAGACTGTGGTATACTAAAACATAAAATATTCTTTTTTTTTTTTTTTTTTTTGAGGCGGAGTCTCGCTCTGTCGCCCAGGCTGGAGTGCAGTGGCCGGATCGCAGCTCACTGCAAGCTCCGCCTCCCGGGTTCCCGCCATTCTCCTGCCTCAGCCTCCCGAGTAGCTGGGACTACAGGTGCCTGCCACCTCGCCCGGCTAGTTTTTTGTATTTCTTAGCAGAGACGGGGTTTCGCAGTGTTAGCCAGGATGGTCTGGATCTCCTGACCTCGTGATCCGCCTGTCTCAGCCTCCCAAAGTGCTGGGATTACAGGCTTGAGCCACCGCGCCCGGCCTAAAACATAAAATATTAAAATAGCAGTAAAAATCAGTGGTGAACTGTTCCATATCTAACATATAAATTATGTTTGGATCTCGCAAATACAATTTTGCACAAAGAATGAGTAGAAAAATTAACAGCACGACTCTGTATATTCAAAAACATGTTAATGAAACAAAAGTGCTGAATCCAAACACTTTTTTTGTGTTAGGAACACAAACACATTTGGTCAAACTACAAAGAAAAGTCAGGATATAGTAACAGCCACTTTAGTGAGGGAGGGGTGGAAGGTGATGGCAGGAGAGCTTGACTGGGGAGGGACACGCAAGCGTTTCAACGCATAGGGAAATGGTGCCCATCTTATGCTGGTAATGGAAGACTGGGTTGACTGGATCTTTAAGTATCACATGTGTGTTACAGGTAGTCTTTTTATTTCATAATTAAAAATGGAAAAACACAAGTATCTGTTCTTGATTTGTATGTGATAGAAATCATCTTTACTCCCTCCTATCATTGGCTTTATTTTTATTAAACCATAAATAGGATTTTAAGCTTACATAAGCTTATAGAAGCTTTGCATCACAGTGCAGCAAAGAAATCTGACTTTCTCCTTGTCCAGCTGAGGGCTTTGCACAAGAATGTGCTTAATTAATTGTTTAAATTTTTTAAAATATTAAATTTAAGTAATTCTGTATTTGAGAAATAAAAAGTTCCTAAGAACATTTAAAACTTGGTTTCTCAGGTTCATTTTCTGGACAGACACTCTGTGAATACAAATCTTTTACCAAATTGCAGTCATGTAAAATTTGTTTCCATAAGGGCACTAGGGTGTGTAGTGGAAATCTAGGTAGCATGTATTAATAGAAGTCTCCATGTAATGAACACTCACTGCAGATCAAGCATTTTACCTGTATTAATACTCATCATAAACTTATGAAGCATTATTATTACCTCCATCACATAGCAGAGGCCAACTGACTTGCCTAACATCACACTGACAGTACCTGATGGTGACAGGCTACCCACACAGGGTTTTCTGCCAAGACTCTTTTCCCTGTGCTGGTCACCTCTCAGCACCTCCTGCAAGGTTGCTAGGCAGGGGTGGGCAGAAAGAGCTCTGAATACAGGGTCTCAACAACTGTGTTGACTTTTAGCTTCAGGACCAAGTGAAGTAACCTCTGAAAATCTTGATCTTTTAGATGAGGTTGGTAAATCAGAATAAAGAGGATTAAACAGTGGCACCCATGCACAGGCATCTTTTAAAGTGTGAAGAGCTGCATAGATAGAAGCATAGTAATTCATTTTAAGGATAAAGCAGACTGGCAACACCCAGTTTAGTAACCGTGAAGCTCCAGTCAGAAATCACAAAATGTAAGAACTGAATGAGTAACACTGTGTAATATTTCATTTGCATTTTCCCTGTCCCTCTCCCACCCCAATCCCACGACAGGGGCCTGGCTCGTTATCTACCACTATGTTCTGAATTTGCGAAAAGTGTTTGAATCCCAAGACACCATATCTTCAAATAGCCATAAAAAAGGTACAAACCCTAGGTCCAAGAAAAATTTTCCGTGGGGCTAAACTCTTTTCAAGAGTGAAAAAATGACACATTAAAACACATCTTTGACCCTAACGCTTTCTGTTGAATAAACGCTTTTTCGGTCTTCATAGTAAATATACTCTACAATTAGTATGTGTAGCAACAGCGGACATTTACACAGTGACTCAAATGCTTTTACACTGCATTGCAGCCTCACAATGCTGAGTTTGGCAGGCAGGTCATTAGTAACCTCTTTCCGCAGGAGGGTGAACTAAGCCTAAGAGAAGTTAAGGAAGCCCCTTAACAGAACAAGACTCCACCTCGGAAAAAAAAAAAAAAGAAAAAAAAAGTGGAAATAAACACTGCCTGTAGACACAGTAATAAGTAGACTGTGGTACACTAAAACATAAAATATTAAAATAGCCGTAAAAATCAGTGGTGAACTGTTCCATATCTAACATATAAATTATGTTTGGATCTCGCAAATACGATTTTGCACAAAGAATGCGTAGAAAAATAAACAGCATGACTCTGTATATTCAAAAACATGTTAATGAAACAAAAGTGTTGAATCTAAACACTTTTTTGTTTTTGGCAGGCAGGTCATTAGTAACCACTTTCCGCTGGGGGGCCAGGCTGGCACCGAGCCTGGAGCTGGGGGTCTCGGGGACGCCTGGACGCGCGCCAGCGGGTAGCTTCCCACCCGCTTCGCACCAGCTTCCCCTCCCTGTAACCTCCGCGGGCTGCAGAGACGCTTCCAGCCCTCTGCAGACGTGGAGAGCGAGGGCCGCGGCGGCGTGGAGCCTGGCACAAGGCCCGCGGAGCACAGACGCCCTCGGGTGGCAGGCGACCCCGCGCCCGGACCCCACGCCCACTCTAGCATCGGCCCCAGAGAAGGTCCCCGGGCTGAGGCCGAGGCCGGCGTGCTCCCTCCCCGAGGAGGCTCTACACGGTCCCATCCCCTCTTGACTGCCGAGGCCCTGATCCTCACCTGCCACCCGCCCACTGGGGCTGGGGGAAGGGGGTCACCTGCGGCCGAGACCAGGGTCCGGGAAGAAGGCGACAGAAGCCGGGAATCGGAGAGGAACCAGCAGCCCGGGCAGCCCTGTACGCCTGCGCGTGCCGGGCCGCGGCACGCCTACTTCCGCGCATGCCTGGTGCAGGAACCCGGGGCCACGGTCGCAGGCCGGAAATGGGGTTCGTTTCCGGTTCGTCTGCTGCTAGCGGGGCTGGAGGCCAAGGTGTGAACGCGTTCAGGCAACCCCGAGCCGGTAGTTGAGGGAAACGGACCCTGTACTTGGAAATGGGAACGGAGACTACACTCCGTCTAGCTTGATTCTGTCACTCAGAGGCAACAGGCAAGCCTGTGGCAGATGCGGCGGGTGAAAGGGAGTCCCTTAAGCTATTTTTATTGGCCAGCATAGCCTAGAAATCAGTGTTTCTAGGGATTTGTCTTTGTGTTTATCTGTATTTTGTAAGTTTCTTACCATGCAGCTGCAGTAGTTGTATAATAAAATTGGTGATAAAGATATCAGTGATAGGTGGGTGGATTTAATCCCGAAGTATGAAGGCCCTGTTAGCTCCGCAATATCGGCAAACGGAGCGGTTGAAAAGGATGATTCTCATGTCTGGGCCATTGCTTACTTGCTTTCTTACTTTTCTTACTTTTTCTTTCTTTCCTTTTTTTTTTTTAGACCGAGTCGCCCAGGCTGGAGTGCAGTGGGGCGATCTCGGTTCACTGCAACCTCCCCCTCCCAGGTTCAAGCGATTCTCCTGCCTCAGCCTCCCGAGTGGCTGGTATTACAGGCGCGTGCCACCACGCCCAGCTAATTTTTGTATTTTTTTGTAGTGACGGGGTTTCACTGTGTTGGCCAGGCAGGTCTTGAACTCCTGACCTTGTTATCCACCCGCCTCGGCCTCCCAAAGTGCTGGGATCACAAGCGTGAGCCACCGCGCCCGGCCTGCTTGATTTCTAATGTAATCTCTAAAATCTCATCCACTCAACAGATATTCATCCAGCCTTAACTCCATACCACGTGCCGTGCTCAACTGAGCAAAACCAGACCCAACCATTTCCGTCACGGAGATCAATAAAGGGTAGCGGGGAAAGCTAATCACAGAAATTGAGGAAAGGTGCGGGGTCCTGGAAGCCCCGGTGGAAACAGGCTAGCGGTGTGGTTCAGCTATGATGTATTTTGGAGTCCTTGCAATGCCATTTCTGCTGGCCCAAGGCCAGGGCAGGGACTTTGGGCGGGATGCGTAAGAGGGGCGGTCTCTCCACCAGAAGTCTTCATTTTTTGGAGACCTCTAGGAACCCCAGGGCCTTCCCCTCCGACTCCCATTCGGAGGCATATGCTGGTCCAGGACCACCAGTGGTGCGGTGCCGGCTTTCATGATAGCCCCATCCTTGGTAGGGCTTCCTTTGCCACACAGTGCTGGGCACCTGCAGAAATACATTTGGCATGGCCCTGACTTAGAGCACCTGGGGCCGAACCTAAGGGAGTCAGACAGCTCAGGTGCCCATCCTGGCTACCCAATGGACCAATGCGCGCTGCGACTGTGTTACTCAACTTTGCAGCGTCTCATCTGTAAAATGGAAGTGTTACAGCTTATTCATAGGGTTGGATGAAGCTTCTTACGGCACTGCGTGTGAAGCGCTGACCCAGCGCTCAGGAACGCCAAGTACAGTACAAATGACAATACATGGTGGCGCCCAACTACGGCGCGAGCGATTCTTAGATGCGGTGGCTAGCTAAGGCTAATCGCCGCCAGCTCCCGACGGTCTGCGCCCAGAGCCAGCCTCCGCAGTCCGCTCCGCCCACCACCTTATTTTCTCTTGGCCGGGTTCTCGCTTCCAGTAGCCAGCGCACTGAGAGCCCGGATGTGAGCCCAAGTGGGCATGCGCAAAAGCCAGCGCCGCTGCCATTGGTCACTGGTGAGGAACAGATTGATGACACATCCGAAAAATAGGAAGTGGCCACTACGGAAGCTGTTCTGGTCCAGAAAGGCTGCCAGTTTGGAGTCGTTTGCTGCGCGGAGGGAATGAATGGGCGCTGGGAACACGCCAGCGAGGTGGGGACGCGCCGGCCGTAGCGAGGGCCTTAGCGTGTGAGTGGCCGGGGTCTGGTCGCTTACCCGCAGCATGGAGGACGATGCACCAGTGATCTACGGGCTGGAGTTCCAGGTGGGTCACTCGGAGGGCGGCAGGTGCTGCTCGGCCTGGCTGCTGACAGCATGAGCGGTCCCATGGTGACTTCGGTTTGCAGATCTCCCACCAGCCCTGCAAGGACCCGTGTCTAGTTCCCATTTTGCAGAGGAGTAAACTGAGGCTTCAGGAGGTTAAACGGTTGTACTGGATAACAGGGTTGGCACAGCCGGCCTGCCTCCTTCCCCTTCACATCCTGTCTCGAACATGACTTCTGACCTGGAAGTTCTCACTCACTTTGGTGGACTCATTTGCTTACACGCCTACCTTTTCCTCTAGAATTTGAGTTCCTGAAGGTAGGGACTGACTGTATGTTGTTTAAAAAAAAAATCGTTTGATTTTGAAACAATTTAAAGTATTTAGAAGAGTTGCAAAGATACATAGAAAGTTCTTTACCCTCCACCCAGCTTCCCTTAATGTTACCACTTTACATATCCATGATACATTTATCAAAGCTTAGAAATTAACATTGGTACACTAATATTAAGTGTACCACTAATATTAAGTATTACTTAATAATTAATAAGTATTAAGTAACTGTCTTCGGATTTAACTGTTTTCACACTAGTGGGGGCCTATTTTTTATCTTGTAGTTTCCAGTGCCTATTCATGACTGTCACATAGTGGGTGTTTAACAAATGACTATCAACTGAATGAGCCCCCAGAGCATAAGCAATGCACATGGCAGTTCAGGACAGCAAGAGAGCTGACGTGGATAGAGCAAATGCGTCAGGGGAAGTGAGGTAGGGGATGAGAAGAGCAGGGGAGGAAGATGACCATTGTGTAGGGCCTGTTAGAGCCCTGTACTGGTTTTCATCTATTCAAGTAGTTTTTGAGAATGTATTATGCCTAAAGCACTGAGGGACAGATAAAGAGATAGAAACACAGTTCACTGCCACATGAAATACTTGATACATAATTTTGTGCAGCAATATGTGTTAAGATATAAATGATGTCTTTTTTTTTTTTTTTTTTGAGATAGAGTCTTGCTCTGTTGCCCAAGCTAGAGTGCGGTGGTGCGATCTCGGCTCACTGCAAGCTCTACCTCCCAGGTTCAAGTGATTCTCCTGTCTCAACCTCCTGAGTAGCTGGGATTACAGGCATCCACCACCACACCCAATTAATTTTTGTATTTTTAGTAGATAACGGGGTTTCACCTCTTGGCCTGGCTGGTCTTGAACTCCTGACCTTGTGATCTGCCCACCTCGGCCTCCCAAAGTGTTGGGATCACAGGCATGAGCCACTGCACCTAGCCCATGTCTGCTTTTAAGTAGGTTACAGTCAGAGAGGCAGCAGCGTTAGTGAAATAATATATGCTACCCAGACACCTAAGTTTTAAATCTTGACTCTAGCACTTATTAACTATGTGACCTTGGGCCTCAGTTTCCTTGCCAATAAAATAAGCATCTCCCCCCCCGCCACCCAGTGACTGTTATGAAATTAAATGAGTTAATACACTTAACTGAAGCACTTAGAACAGTGCCTGGCACATAATATGTTCAATAAATGTTGTTCTAATTGTTATAATGAGAGAAAATTCCTTTTTTTTTTCTTTGTAGAAACGGGGTTTTGCCATGTTGCCCAGGCTGGTCTCACACTCCTGAGCTCGAGCGATCTGCCCGCCTCAGCCTCCCAAAGTGCTGGGATTACAGTCATGAGCCAGCGCACCCTGCCTAAGACAAAATTCTTACAAATAAATTTTGTACAGGGCAGCAGCTAAGTGTCCTGTGTAATAAACTAGGCTCTAGGATTTGACCAGTGGCTGTATCACGTTCACAAGGCTGATGGCTTAACTACTAGTGATTTAGCTCTGGACTGTGTGTCACTCTGCTTAGCACTGTACAAATATTTCGTTTAATTCTCAGCAATCATTATTGGTAGGTGTTATTGTTCCTGTTTTACAGATGAAGAAACAGGCTCAGAGAGAACACTTACCTGTCCAAGGCCACTTAACTAGTAAATGATAGACCTTGGATTCTGACCTAGTTAGGCTTTTAACCCAAACTGACCTCAAAGCCCCTTTCCTGCTAAGTTCTGCCGCTTTCTCCTTAACTAGATATACATAGGGTTACTTGGGAAGAGACCACATGGGCAGACAGAAGGTTCCAGAATCTTGTACTGCCTGAAGGTGCATACTCTGCCAGTGCTACTTAATATAACTTCTTGATCTCCTTAAGAAATCTCTCAAAAAACCCAGAGGATTTTATCTTCAGTATCTTTGTGTCTTTGAGGTTAACTGAAATGTCATTTTCTGAGATTTGAAAAATGAATGAAATCGATTCTCCTAAGGGAGTCAAATATATTATTGGATTTTCTTCTTTATCTTAAAAGAAGTAGCTGACTTTTGCTGCTTGGATTTTATTGGATAGTACCATGGACCAAGACTTTCTTGAGTTTGAAGAACCATCATTGCAGTAAACAAGAAAAGAACTGAGAACAATAGTTTTTTTTTTTTTTTTTTTTTCCTTGTCAGTGACATTCAAATCCCATGGAAAATACTTTACATGAAAAGATAGAGATCTGATTATTGACCACTGAGTGAAGGTAATGAGACTTGAAAGGTAAAGGGCAGTACTACAACTGCAAATAAAAGAAGACCAACATAGAGGGTGATTAAGATCGCAAAATGCCAAGCAAATTCATCGCAATGATTCTGGATTTTTTCATAATTATATTTGAAATGCATGAAATTTCAAATGATATTTGAAATGTTTTTGCACACTTTTAGTTTACTGGTCAGTAGAAATCCATTTTCTCAAAATGAGTTTAATGAATACTTGTCAGTTAACAAAACAGTAGTTCTTTGTGACTATCTCAAAGTATATACAAACAGTATGACTTCTCTCCTGCAATCATGTTTCTTTGAACTTTTGACATTAATAGACCTTCTTTAGTTGTGTGGGTCAAATCTCCATGTGGCAAACATGCCTAGTGATGGGAAGAGTGAACCACTAGGCAGCGGTGGCTTTGCCCATGTGTAGGT